GTTACTGCAAGGCAGAAAAAGTAGTTGTGGTCAAATAGATCACTATGGAATTAATTTTCTAGAGCAAAGAAACAGATGTAAAAGCTGATAATGATCCCAAACTGCAAGCTTATATCTAGTTCAGTTACAGATTATGAGCTTTTTGACTCACGACAAGGGTTCAGGCTGGCGACGAGGAGTAACAAACAGTGTCCTTGTGGGCCGGGCGCTGCTGGCGTCTGGGTGGGCATTCCATGGCTTGGCATAGCTGTGGTCCAGAAATACCAAATCCAGCTCTCTTTCATGAGCTGACAGCTGGAAAAGCAAGGATGTGCCCATCTTTCGTGCTGATATCTGGAAGTCCTTATCCCCACCACGATGCATCCTCTTCCTGGGCCCAAAAGGGCCCCGGGAAGGGCTTAACAACTTGTGTGGGTTCAAACCTATCTGGGAGAGAGAAGCCAAAATGCATTATTTGAGACAGGCCAGGAAAACAAAACATTTCTTTCAAATTTTCCATCAGTTTACAAAAGGATATCAGGAACTTTCACATCCTCTGATTCACGTTATGACAGAGCAGTCATTCCATAACCAAAAACCATGGATTGCCAGAACCATCCAGAAACATGGACAATTATTAAAGCAGCACCCAACAGTGTAAGGAGACGCAACACGGACTAAATAACAGTACACTACTTACAAGAGCTTATGGATCACATTTCACTGCAGTTACACTTTGTATAACTCCATGTGACAAATTAATGATGAACTGAAATTAAATTAAATAATATAATAAAAGGGCACTTTACTGATTTTACTGCACAAAGATCAGTTTACCAGTTGCAGTAACTAGTGTTATCTCACAGCTTGGTTTAAACTTTTATATGTTTTTGAGAGCCCCTTTACTTTATAGAAGTGCCATACTAAACCATAGCAGTACTCCTCTGCTATGAGACTCTTCTACAGAGCAGGATTTGTGATATGACTCTTGTGAATATGATCTGATATACCACGTTGAACTTTAATATAGTAAACTGCATATGTTTGGGTTTTGCACTGTTGGTCACAACAAGACATTTAAAGACGCTACCTTGGTCTCTGGGAAAGTGATGGACATCGGACCATTCGCTGTTTTCTAGATGCGTCTATAGCAAACGACAAATCGAGGGAATAATCGATGGTTACAGCCCTAGCATAGTCTGACGTTCAAACATGCAGTTGTTTTGTCCACGGATAGCACCACCCATTACTGCCATGTACGTACTGGTTATAATTATCTAATTAATATCACTGACCTTTGGGGGGTTGCGTTTATCTTTTTAACCATCAACACGTCCGTTCAATATGATATTTTCACGTGACTGTTAGCTTATGTTTAGCGTTTATGTTATCGCTGTGTAGGGATAGTGTGCTGGCCTGGCATGCTAATGTTAGCATAGCAAGCTAAAAGCTACCCAAATGGCGCTATCGCTGTGTTTTGCTGCTCACCTTTCTGCCTTATCACTCCATCTTTGTTGAGACGGCTTAAACTCTTCTTTTGAGCCAAAGAGCCAAAGTAGGAGGTATTTCTTTGTTATTTCTAGAGGTTTTATAAAACACAAATATTCAGTGCGTAACGTTACGAACCTCACTTCCTTTTGTTGTGTGATTTGTTGCCATGTTGGGCTTCATATCCCCCCTTTTCAGAGCATTAAAGACACGGAGGATCGTCAGGGCTACATTTCAACAAACCTGGCAACCCACTTTGTGGCGCGTCAGTGAGTGACGTAATACGTGCACTGAGTCTACAGCAGGTATGGATCATTTATTAAGCGCTCTTGAATACCTTGTCAGTTTTATTTTTCTAAATGCTAAATATTGTATCCACAGACAGAAATTCTGTAAGTTATTTCCTTTTAAAGATCTCAAACCATTCAGTTTATCAAAAAACAAAATAAAAGTGTCAAGCTTTTGAAAAGTTATGCAATCTGAATATACTTTTCCCCCCTCTGTATGCTTGTATCCCTGTTTATCTTTTTTGTCTGCTTGTTTATTTTAATTGTCTTGAAATACTGTTATTTATACTCTTCACATGTACTTATGTCATACCTATTTGTTTTTATTTTTACATGTGCTAATATTAGTCATCTGATGTTTTGTACATGTTCATTTTGTCAGTTCAAAAAAGTCTGGATCATTTACTTCCTCTACAAAAATACTCAATGTTAATAACCTAAAAATAATGAATGTTATGCTTGTGAGTTATAGCCTAATTCGTGAGTGCTTTGCTGTTTTGATGCATAATGCTCTTTTCTACTTTACTGAAGTGGTTAGTGCCATGGTTGATTATTAAGGTAGTTAGTTGAAATCTATCCCCAGTCTGAGAATGACAGTAGAAATTTGGGCAGACATGTAGGCCTACAGTCACTTAGATCATGTGACACTCTGATCAGCTGCCAGAATGTCCGATGGCACCAAAAGACTGAGACATTTAAATATGACTTTGACGAATTATGTTTCGTCAAATGTTAAAATTAACCTAACCTATTTTTTTTAAATGACTTTTAATGTGGATGTTTTTTGTTTTCTTTTTTTGGACAAATGTCCTAGGAACGGTGATGAACTCTCCCTAGTAAACCTACCTCCCCTCCACCCTTCACTCCCCTTATTTGATTCCAAAGGTCTGTGCAGACACACTGTTTAAAAGACAGAGCCCCTCACTAAAAAACTATATATTTTATCCTCTTACCTAAACACAATTCAAACCGGACAAGTCTGACTGCCACTATGGTGAGTTTTAAAACTGATGAGTTATGAGATTTTATGAGAAAGTAATGTCAATCATGGAGGAGAAGAGAGTGGTTTTAAAATGTGTTGTTTGTTTCTGTTTTATTTTCTCCATAAAGAAATATTTGGCTCTGGCTTTTCTGCTTTGTGCTTTGGCACCACTGTCCAATGGAGCCTGCTTCCAGAGGGAGGTGGAACCAGGTAAAGGAGAAAAGCACATATCTACATGCAGACATACAGTATCTAGGATGAATATATATATAAATCTTGAAAACATTTACTACTTTTTCTTTCCACCTATAGACATGACCCATTGTCAGGACGATGTGGATGGGACGTGGCATGCTGTCGGATCTTCATGGAGAAACAGTCGATGCATGGACTGTACTTGCAGTGGGTGTTGCAGTGGGTAAGTACACAGATCACAGTTACTGAAGTTATATCTGTATTTACATATTCTACTGTTAACTGTGTATTTGCTGTGTATTTGCAGGTATTCAACCCCCACACGGATCCCTGATGAGTGTGTGTCAGTTTTTGACTCAGAGGCTTGTGAATACATAGTACACAAGAGGGACAACCCATCTGTACTATGTCCAATTTTTGGCGCAGTGGGGAAGTAATGGGTGGTCTGAAGGTCTGAAGTATTTACTCGGGGGAGAGAGCGAGAGGCATGCAGGTGTGATCCCTCACTGGCTTCTCACCAAGAAACACCGCCTGTTTTGTTGGTTGTGAGATACGATTAAGCAGGAGGCACAGCTGCAGTAAATTGAAAATGAAATATGGTGTGAATGAAATTCAGATGAATAAATACATAAATCATAACTTTCTTCTATATTTATTTTTTGCATAACTTTGTATTAGAAAGAAAATCATTTCCTAAAGAACACAAACCATGTTAAAGGGCGATTTAAACTGGTTAAAATCAGTTTAAATCGGTTACTCACCACCAGAAGTAGCTACTACGCAGGATGTGTAAACAGTTGTATAATGTTTTATGTGGCTCTGCAGGAAACTTTCCAAAGTTTGAAAGAATAACATCCATCATCAGAGTTATCTTAGGTTGGACATTTTTAACAGGAAGCCTCCCTTAAAAACTTGAGTTGTGGGGTTTTTGGAGGCGTGGGCGGGCTCACAGAAGACACTGTTCAGTTGTATTATGGGAAATGTAGGATCCATTGTTTTTGGAGCTTGATGCACACTTGATTCAAAGTCATAATATCTTAGCCTCTGCTGCTTCGATTTGGACCATCCATTTTTAAATCTGTCTCTTGAGATCTTCCGTCTTTAAGAAAGGTAAATGCTAAATTTCTGGAGTGCCCTTTCAACATGATAGAAAACTGACTTGTATTTGTGTTTGCAGACTTCACCAGATGTTTCAGTTTCAATTTCAATTTCAGTTTTATAAAGCCCAATACTGCGGGGCTGTACTTAAACATAGTGTTGCTTTTAGTTAAATGCTAATACCAGCATGGCAAAATGTTGACAATTGCAATGCTAACATGCTGACATTTGGAAGGTAGGCTATAATGTTTGTCATGTTCACCATCTTAGCGCAGGGTGTTCCATATCCTTGTAGCTATTTTCATTTTATTATTAAGCACCTTGTGTTTTGAACAAAATATAAATAAATAAAGTTTAAGTTTTAAAGTGTTAGCTTGCAAACATTTGCGAATTAGCACCCTCAACCAAAGTACTGGACAAACTGAAAATGTATCCTGATGATGATGACTAGATGAAAAAACAGGGGATCCAGTTACCCATAAGAGGAGCATGGATTTCATGACAGTCTATCCAACAGTTGTATATATCATATGTAATCTGCCAAATAAAACAAGTAGATTGATAATCTGATGACCTATAGTGGTTTATGTGCTTCCAACACAAACCTAATTTTCACAGCCATCATTCAAATCATACAAGTCTGGTGTCATCGTGGTGAGTTTCTGTTATTATTTCTTAAATAATTTGAGAATATAATTGTTGGTGGCTGTTTTGAGCTCATTGGCTCATTTTCACAATGTCATTTTTTTTTTAAATTTTACAGACTGATAGAAATGAGGTTCATGTAAAAGTCCTTTTTTTCAATTCCAATGGATCAAATGCAGTGCACATATAAAATCATAAATCATTCTAAATCATTTCATTTAGAAGAAATGACAAAGTCACTTTCATTTCTAATACACATTGCAGTGCCTATTTAACCTATTAAAATTCTCATGATTTTATTTTCATAAAACGTAGCCCGGCTATAGCCTAATAAAATCTGCCTGTCACTTGGTAGGGAGCAGTGACAAGACTCGAGGAACCAAGGAGCAACCTAGCACTGAATAGTATAGTTTACTACCCCGTCTCTTTCGTTGGAATCATGTTAGATTTCCAGATCTACTACAAAACTGAGATCTTCATGGCCAATATGGATAGAAGGAATGATCACAGCCACCAGTAACTGTCAATGTACATATGGGCATGTGCGTTTTGTTTCAAGATAGACCTGTCCTTTAAAACTGTGATGTTCTTTGCTCCTGTGAAGAAATATTTGGCTGTGACTTTGCTGCTTTGTGCTCTGCGGTCACTGTCAAATTCATACTCTACATATTCTGTTAAACTCTGTGTTTGCAGGTTTTCAATCCCTCTTGTATTCCCTGGCTGCGTGAAAGTTTTTGACCCGGAGGCTTGTAGTGCACAAGAAGGACAATACATTGCATCTATTTTCTTTTGTTGCTGTTGTTCGAGCAAGAATCAAAAATAAAAAGCAACTAATACAATTTCAAATGAATGAAAAAATACTATTAAATGTCTTCATGGTGTACTCAAGCACAACTCTGTAAGAGAGAGAAAAACAGAAACCATGTTAGACCATGTTGGCGCTCCACCAACCAAAGACTGAGACATTTTGACATGATTCATGGGAGGGTTTTTCAGATCTTAAAAATGACTTCAAATGACTTTGTACACTGTATCGTCTATTTCTTTATTTGTTGTGTTCAGGCAAATACAAATAGTGGTGACCTCTTCCAGTAAACTGACCTCCCCTCCACACTCCACTCCCCTTATTTGATTCCAAAGGTCTGTGCAGACACAGTGTTTAAGAGACAGAGTTGCTCATTAAAAAATACAATATATTTTATCCTCTCACCTAAACACAATTCAAACCGGATGAGTCTGACTGCCACTATGGTGAGTTTTAACATGGATGAGTTATGAGATTTGGTCACAATTGTTTGTTTGGAGCTGTTTTTGTGTTTTGAAGGGATAAAGTAATGTCAATCATGGAGGTGAAGAGAGTGGTTTTAAAATGTGTTGTTTGTTTCTGTTTTATTTTCTCCATAAAGAAATATTTGGCTCTGGCTTTTCTGCTTTGTGCTTTGGCACCACTGTCCAATGGAGCCTGCTTCGGGTGGAAGATAGAACCAGGTAAAGGAGAAAAGCACATATCTACATGCAGACATACAGTATCTAGGATGAATATATATATAAATCTTGAAAACATTTACCACTTTTTCTTTCCACCTATAGGCCTGACCCATTGTCAGGACACTGTGGACGGGACGTGGCATGCTGTCGGATCTTCATGGAGAAACAGTCGATGCATGGACTGTACTTGCGGTTGGTGTTGCACTGGGTAAGTACACAGATTACAACATTTAAGTTTTTAAGTAGAAAGATAAATATCTCATCACATTGGTATCCATACATACTACTGTTTTATGCATTTGCAGGTTCTCAACCCCCATGGGATTCCCTGACTACTGCGTGAAAGTTTTTGACCCAGAGGCTTGTGAATACATAGTGCACAAGAAGGACGACCCATCCGTACTATGTCCTGTTCATAGTGGAGTATTGAGGAAGTGATGGAGTCAGTGTTTTGAGTGGTTTATACGTTGCATCTATTTTCGTTTGTTGTTGTTGTTTGAGCAAGAATCGAAAATAAAAAGTGACGAATACAATTTCAAATGAATAAAGAAATACTATTAAATTTCTTCATGGTGTACTCTACTCTGCTACTACTTTTAGCACAACTCTGTAAGAGAGAGAAAAACAGAAACCTTGTTAGACCATGTTGGCACTCCACCAATGAAAGACTGAGACATGATGACTTGAAAAAGTCAGATAAAAGTAGACATGACTCATGGGAGGGTTTTTCAGATCTTAAAAATGACTTCAAATGACTTTGTACACTGTATCGTCTATTTCTTTATTTGTTGTGTTCAGGCAAATACAAATAGTTCCAGTAAACTGACCTCCCCTCCACCCTCCACTCCCCTTATTTGATTCCAAAGGTCCGTGCAAACACACTGTATAAAAGACAGCCCCTCATTAAAAAATACAATATATTTTATCCTCTCACCAAACTGGATGAGTCTGACTGTCACTATGGTGAGTTTTAAAATGGATGAGTTATGAGATTTGGTCACAATTGTTTGTTTGGAGCTGTTTTTGTGTTTTGAAGGGATAAAGTAATGTCAATCATGGAGGTGAAGAGAGTGGTTATAAAATGTGTTGTTTGTTTCTGTTTTTTTCCATAAAGAAATATTTGGCTCTGGCTTTTCTGCTTTGTGCTTTGGCACCACTGTCCAATGGAGCCTGCCACCACAAGGTCATGAAACCTGGTAAAAGAAAAAAAAATCACATATCTACATGCAGACATACAGTATTCTTGATGAATATATGAATCTTGAAAAACATTTACCACTTTTTCTTTCCACCTATAGACATGACCCATTGTCAGGACGATGTGGATGAGACGTGGCATGCTGTTGGATCTTCATGGAGAAACAGTCGATGCATGGACTGTACTTGCAGTGGGTGTTGCACTGGGTATGTACACAGATTACAACATTTCTGTTTTTAAGTAGAAAGATAAATATCTCATCACATTGGTATCCATATAAACTACTGTTTTTATGTATTTGCAGGTTCTCAATCCCCGTGGGATTCCCTGACTACTGCGTGAAAGTTTTTGACCCAGAGGCTTGTGAATACATAGTTCACAAGAAGGACGACCCATCCGTACTATGTCCTGTTCGTGGTGGAAAAGGAAAGTGATAAAGTCCTTGTTCTGAGTGGTTTTAAGGTGTGAATTCATTTTTTCCCTCTCTTCTGTTGTTATTGAACTGGAGAGAGAGCGAGAGGCATGCAGATGTGATCCCTCACTGGCTTCTCACCAGGAAACACTGTTTTGACTGTAACACACGACATACAGTACAGGCCAAAAGTTTGGACACACCTTCTCATTCAATGCGTTTTCTTTATTTTTATGACTATTTACATTGTAGATTCTCACTGAAGGCATCAAAACTATGAATGAACACATGTGGAGTTATGTACTTAACAAAAAAAGGTGAAATAACTGAAAACATGTTTTACATTCTAGTTTCTTCAAAATAGCCACCCTTTGCTCTGATTACTGCTTTGCACACTCTTGGCATTCTCTCCATGAGCTTCAAGAGGTAGTCACCTGAAATGTTTTTCCAACAGTCTTGAAGGAGTTCCCAGAGGTGTTTAGCACTTGTTGGCCCCTTTGCCTTCACTCTGCGGTCCAGCTCACCCCAAACCATCTCGATTGGGTTCAGGTCCGGTGACTGTGGAGGCCAGGTCATCTGCCGCAGCACTCCATCACTCTCCTTCTTGGTCAAATAGCCCTTACACAGCCTGGAGGTGTGTTTGGGGTCATTGTCCTGTTGAAAAATAAATGATCGTCCAACTAAACGCAAACCGGATGGGATGGCATGTCGCTGCAGGATGCTGTGGTAGCCATGCTGGTTCAGTGTGCCTTCAATTTTGAATAAATCCCCAACAGTGTCACCAGCAAAACACCCCCACACCATCACACCTCCTCCTCCATGCTTCACAGTGGGAACCAGGCATGTGGAATCCATCCGTTCACCTTTTCTGCGTCTCACAAAGACACGGCGGTTGGAACCAAAGATCTCAAATTTGGACTCATCAGACCAAAGCACAGATTTCCACTGGTCTAATGTCCATTCCTTGTGTTTCTTGGCCCAAAACAAATCTCTTCTGCTTGTTGCCTCTCCTTAGCAGTGGTTTCCTAGCAGCTATTTGACCATGAAGGCCTGATTCGCGCAGTCTCCTCTTAACAGTTGTTCTAGAGATGGGTCTGCTGCTAGAACTCTGTGTGGCATTCATCTGGTCTCTGATCTGAGCTGCTGTTAACTTGCGATTTCTGAGGCTGGTGACTCGGATGAACTTATCCTCAGAAGCAGAGGTGACTCTTGGTCTTCCTTTCCTGGGTCGGTCCTCATGTGTGCCAGTTTCGTTGTAGCGCTTGATGGTTTTTGCGACTCCACTTGGGGACACATTTAAAGTTTTTGCAATTTTCCGGACTGACTGACCTTCATTTCTTAAAGTAATGATGGCCACTCGTTTTTCTTTAGTTAGCTGATTGGTTCTTGCCATAATATGAATTTTAACAGTTGTCCAATAGGGCTGTCGGCTGTGTATTAACCTGACTTCTGCACAACACAACTGATGGTCTCAACCCCATTGATAAAGCAAGAAATTCCACTAATTAACCCTGATAAGGCACACCTGTGAAGTGGAAACCATTTCAGGTGACTACCTCTTGAAGCTCATGGAGAGAATGCCAAGAGTGTGCAAAGCAGTAATCAGAGCAAAGGGTGGCTATTTTGAAGAAACTAGAATATAAAACATGTTTTCAGTTATTTCACCTTTTTTTGTTAAGTACATAACTCCACATGTGTTCATTCATAGTTTTGATGCCTTCAGTGAGAATCTACAATGTAAATAGTCATGAAAATAAAGAAAACGCATTGAATGAGAAGGTGTGTCCAAACTTTTGGCCTGTACTGTATATTTGCATAGAAGAGGCACAGAAGAAAACTGCAGGTTCCATGAAGCATGGCAGCGTGGAAATTTCCGTCATTATTACCTGGTTCCCTATAAAACTCAGCCATGCTCTCTTCTAAAGTCATTTTTTGATCTGTCCAGTCACAATCTCTGCTGGCTAAGAACTTCTATCATTCCTCAACTTGCTCAGAAAGGACTCGAGCTGAGACATTTAGCACGCCACTAGCTAGGACTTATTGAAAATGTTGGAATTTGTTAAAGGCAGCTAAAACACATAAATATTGAATAAACAATATTAGATGGTTTTCCCAAAAAAATCCCTTCCTTATCTAAACACACAAAGCTGTCCACATACAGAAACAGAAGTTCCAGTTTCTCCCATGGATAGGAGAAATGATTCTGGTTACCAAGAATGTTCAATGACGGCTCAACCCAAAATAAAAAATAGTTTTTCTTCCTCTGTAGTGGTATTTATCAGTCTAGATTGTTTGGTGTGACTTGCTGAGTGTTGGAGATATCGGCTGTAGAGATGTCTGCCTTCTGTTGAATGTAATGGAACTAGATGGCACTTAGCTTGTGGTTCTCAGAGCGCCAAACAAAATACATTTGAAAAACTCAACAGCAATGTCTCTTTCCAGAAATCATGACCTGGTTATTCAAGATAATCCACTGAGCTTTTTAGGAACTATTTTCTTTCTACCAAACTACACCCACTAACTGTTTCGCTACGCAGAAGGAGGCGTGCATCTGCTCATGGATTAGATGCTCATGCTCTTGACAGCGTTAGATGAAAACACTGATGCCATCTTCCTCGGCTGAGCTGTAACATTGGCTCAGTAGTGCTAGGTGAGCTAGCAGTAGATGCACACTGTTGGCGGGCAAGCAGCTATGTCACCTTCCATCCTGCTGGTCTTGATCAAAGTGTCAGCAGTCTTCAAACAGCCAGCCATGACCCGGGTGGACAAAAACCTGCTGAAGAATCATCATAAGCAAAATTGAGACCCATCTCCTCCAGTTTCCTGGCAGTGATATTTACAGGAAAGCTCAAGCCAAATGTGAGACCAGAGGTTTAAATTACAGTACTATACGCTAATATATTAATTAAAATACTGCATCTGAAGAACACTTTTGTAGTGAATTTCTATTATCGTTATAATCATGAATGTCGTGTCCAGCAGCACTATAGACTGCTGGGCAACCAACAATAAAAGAGAATCTGCAAAAAACAGGCTGCATACACACCAACCTCATAAAACACAAAAGATCTCAATCAAGCACTGGCATATGTCATATTGAAAGATATGATGCTATTTTGAATAGTTGAAATGCTTTTTAACATGTGTGTCCTGTTTGTGATTTAATGAAATATTTTTTTCTTAATAAAATTAGAGTTAAAGTGATTCCAATATGGTTTCATGACATTTTAAGATGTAAGCAAAATTTGATGATTATCAAGATGATATCATGTATTGCGATTATTTTGGCCAGGATAACTATGACCTGAAATTTTAGTATTGACCCATGCCAACTACAGACTGTTTGTACTCTGAGTAAATCCGACATTTCAGATTGAATTGTGTCTCCAACAACTGGCTGCATTTGGGCAAAAGTAAGTATTACAGTGTGATTTTGACATGATTTGTCTATGGCCATATTAGTTACAGTACAGTAGTACTTGCTTTTTTATATCTTATCATTACGTGTGTAATCATTTTACTGGTAGGCATGACTCATTTTCAGGACTCGCTAGATAAGACGTGGCCCTCTGTAGGATCTTAACCCTTAGATGCACGAATGAGTGGACCCTACACTCCTCCATAAGTGGGTCAAAAATGACCCGTGTTAGAATCAATGTGTTTTTATGTCACTTTTGTCATTTTGGTTAAGAAAAATCATTTTTATTATATTTTGGCCCACATAAGAATGATTTCATGGTTGAAATATTTTTATTTTTCAGGTTTTTTTTTTTTTTTACATTTTTAACATTTTTAAAACATTTTGAAAATTGGAAACGAAAATTACACAACAGCAATAGAACAATGTCAACATCCATTTTGTGCGTGTGGTGTGTGTGTGTGTGTGTGTGTGTGTGTGTGTGTGTGTGAAAGAGAGTATATGCGTGTGTGTGTGTGTAACTGTACAATCCTGTTCAGTTGGATTTCCAGGTGGACGACCGACACCTCCACCTGGACAATAGTCTGGGTCCTCATCGTCTGATATTTCAGATTCTGAGTCCAGTCCCATAACTGCCTCTTCATTCAGCATCCTTACAACCATTTCAGCTGTATACCTCACAGCCATAACACTTTGGATGAGGAAACATAAAACGAAGAGAATGTTTTGAATGACAAGCAAACCTATTGATCAATATGTAGCTATATAAATAAATGCACACATGCATCCGCGCGCACACCGACACACATGCACACATGCGCGTGTGTGCAAACACACACACACACACACACACACACACACGTGCGCACAATACATACAGTAAAGTACATATATTTATCTAGCTAATGTTAGCTAGCTATTTTCGCAAACTATAAAATAGGCAAATTTGATGATAGATCATAAGAAACACATACTCTTTCACACAATATTCAATCACACACACACACACACACACACACACCAGATAGGGAGTATACTGCGAAACTAGAGGCCATTGTCCGTGTGGTCCACAAAATATGAATTCCAGACAGTCACAGATGATAAGATTCAAAAGTTACCATAAAATTCCATAGGAAATGAATGCGGGTCATTTTTGACCCACTTATGGAAGCTTGGGGTAGTAATACAAAAACTATAATTTTGTAAAATGTATAAAAGGTAAGTGAAAAATTTCAATGGCATGATATCAATAACAAGTTTTTTGAGGAATAGCTGGAATATGAAATGATAACAACTTTTCATTACGAAGATATCACAAAAAAACAACCTCACCGGGTCATTTTTGACCCACTTATGCATCTAAGGGTTAATGAAGAAACAGTGAATGTATCTGCAGTGGATATCTGCGTACACAGATGTGTCTCATTTTTAACCCATGAGCTTGTAGATATGTTTTCAACGAGAACAACCCTGTGACCACTTTTTAGTGGACGAGGGAAGTAACATTGTTTAGTATATGTCCTGCCACTGTCCTAGATATGATTGAAAATAGTTGATCGATGGTTGATTGATTCAAGCCTACCAAGTCATACAACTGCTCTCCATTGTGCCATGCCATCTTGCTTATAGAGAGGAGTTGTGTATCTTTGATTGAGATGGAGTCGTAATGAAGCTCAAACTAGTCTACAGTTTGCTGTGTGCAATCTTAGAATTAGAGATTATTGATTCGTGCACTCATTTTTTTACCAGTCTTGCATGAATTCAAATCTGCAACAAAATTCTAATTCAAATCTGAAACAGAAGAACATATTTGGGGCAGCAGTAGCTCAGTCCATAGGTTCCTAGGTCAGGAACTAGAGGATCACTGGCTCACGCCCCCATCTGGAGCAAGTACGGAACATAGGCTGGTAGCTCAACAGGTGCCAGTTCACCTCCTGGGCACTGCTGAGGTGTCCTTGAGCAAGGCACAGAACCCCCTACTGCTCGGGGCACCCCTCCATGGGCCTCTCGCTCTGACATCTCTCCATTTAATGCATGTTTAGGTCCTGTTTGTGCATGTGTGTGCATTTTGGGCCTGTGTGTATATAACAACACAGTGAAAAAGTTGAATTTTCCCTCAGGATTGACAAAGTATTTATTTTCTTCTTCTTCTAAGAGGAACTCTCAGCGTGTGAATATGCAAAATATACAGTGCAACATGCTGTAGGTAGTGAGAAAAACAGAAGAAAAACTGATAAACAGATAACCAAGCAGAACTTTTTTCTTTATTATCTTTGTGTGTCTGCTTGTGTGCTAAATGTGCCGAATTCCAACATTTAAAATCCTCTGTGTCCACAAATAGTCACTCTTTCCTCTGACTCAAACCTACTCCTGCAGAGAAATGTAAGCGGCAGGGGTGGCTTAGAACAGCAGCCAATAGGAACTTCCCAGTGATGTCATTTTGAGGGACTTGCAGATATCACAGTGCTCACATAAATCACACAGGACCAAGCATTGAAGGAACAAAAAGGATATAGGTCATCTAGTTTCTGTGTTTCCCAAACTCTTTGCACCCATTTCTCTACATATGTGGTCGATACTTCATTATAGTGCAATCCAAAACAACACCATGGCAAGCTAGAAATTAAAATCAGAGATGAGTCAACATCTCTCTGACACAGTTTCTCTGATACAATTGCTGGCCCCCCAACTGGACCCCTCTGGCGAAAGTAATTGGAGGCCAACATGAGGCCGTGGCGTGCTTATGTTCATTTTTTAAGTGAGGGTGAAGGTTGATAGTTGTGGGGGGCTAAACAATGCTCCAAATTTAGGCTTAATTTTCTTGAAGTAACAACAGGTATGGTCAAATGTGACCCTTGCACTCCCACCTTAAGATATCTGAATGGAAATGTGCTCTGTGGGTACCCACCAGTCTCAGCAAATGTTTTGTTGCTTGTTCTCCTTCAAATTAAAGCTCTATATTGGAATCACCTAACATGTAGATAAATTACACATTAAAACATGACTGTTGTGGAACTTAAAATGTTAACTGTACTGCTATTAGTCTGTGCACATCAGATAATTAGTAATATTAACTGCAGGATAAGAAATCAAAGTATATGAGTATGTGATTCCTTCACTCACATATTGACACAGTTTTTAGTCAGCCTATTAACTTTTACAGCATAATAGAATTCCTATAATTTGGTTATGGCTTGTGGATTTGATCTGGTGTGCCACCTCAAGATTTTTAGTGGCCCCATCTGGCCACCTCAATGAAAAATTTCTGGGGGGGGGCACTGCACAACAGGCTTCACAAAGGTAGTGTTTACAGCAGTGTTACAGTGTTTGGGGTCACAGAGTTTATACTTAATGGGCTGATGTTTTAAGCCACCAGCAACGTATCACCACTAGGCGGCAGGACAAGCCAGCAGATTCTGGTGTTTCCACTGTATTGTCTTCATCACTCTCTTCCTCTGCAGAGAGAGAGAGAGAGAGAGAGAGAGAGAGAGAGAGAGAGAGAGAAAGAGCTGCAAAAAACAAAGAGAGTTTTGCAAAGACTCTTAAGACATCCAGTGTCTGAGGATCTCTCTGTTGCATGGTCTTGTCATTAACAAAAAGCAGCAAGAGTGGGAGGTTGTGGAGCTCTTCTCATCTTTTGTACATGCTGTGTCGGAGCCAGTGATGAGAGGGTCCCAACAACAGTGAGAGCCACAACACTCATGCTTTCTCTCTCTCCCCTCCACTTCTTAGTGACACTCACTGCTCTCCTTTGGATTATTGCTTTTTTTATGCTGGAGACGTCCGTGGAGGATTGAAAGAAGAATCAGCAAGGAGGATTAACTTTGCAACTTCTTTAAACCAACTTTTTCTTTACTGAAGTTGGTTTTATGAGATTTTCTGCAGCCTTCAGAATAATGCCTTTGTGCTGGAGCAGAAGCTCCTGGTTTCCAGTGGTGTTTGGTGCTGCGCTGGTTGTTCTCACTGCTGGCAATGCTGGACCGAACCAGGACAGGAGGCAGGCTGGGTCATCCTCATGCTTTGGAGGCTTTGATCTCTACTTTGTTTTGGACAAGTGAGTTACCTGACGCACATTACCTGACTGTCTTAAGAGAGGGTGGATGAATAGAATTGGATCTGTTGGCAAGTGAAATTCAGTCATGTTAATGTCTATGATGTATGTAAGTTAATGAGTGAATAAAAACAACATATTAATTTTAGATTATGAAAAAAATGTGTATTTCTCTCCACCAGCTGAGCCTGACTCGAATATTCCACTCATCTGTCTCTGCTTACAGCCTCAAAATAGGTACTTTATGCATGATTGGGAATGCATGAAGTTCATATGAAATATTCTATATTGTTTTGGAGCTTCTCCCATCATGGTCTGCCAAAAATGTTTTCATGATGTCATCCTCATTTCTGTCACCGGGACGCCCCCTGGTGTCATATCGTGCAGGAAAATGGATGAATGGGCCGGTGAAGCATTGTTTTGATAGGCCTTGATCTACATTTCAGCTTGGCATATGTCGAACATTACAGATGGTAACGGTTAGTGCTGTGTTAGGTGTTCCCCCATTCATCAGTCAGCTGCAGGGCTACACAGGCTACAAGCACTGTGGCTGCCTGTTGTGTTTGGTGGTCATCCTCATTAACATAACATTTACCACGTGGGCAGTTTTTATCCAGAATTGCTGCTAAGTGTATCCTCAAATCTCCTCTTCTCTCTTAGAGCTCTAACACAGTCTGTGTATCCCAGCAGAGGATGTTTGGGCTCCCTGCAAAGTTGGATACGTCGGTCTTGATTTAGACACAGTTTCCATGTTTATCTAACCTGGTTTTTGGTGGCCTCTGTGTCTCCTTTAGCCATGCACTATGGGCCCCTTATCCAAACAACCACACTGAACATTTACTTGATCATACTGATTACATTTTGATGAGGCTTATGCTTCCTTTAATTTCTTATAATTTGTGCAGTTATCTGGGGGGTTATACATGTTGCATTTGTTAATTCAATTTCCATGCTCTACAACTTTAGCTAAACAGAAATTGAGCAATCTCATCAACAAAGCCAGTCATGTGAAAGCTGTTTCTCAAAAGGGGTCAGTGTTATGCACAAGCAGTGTTTACCTGAGTTTTCCTGACTGGGACTTAAAGAGAAAGCTGGTATATTGTAGATAAATATGCGCACAGCTCCTCTGGCACTGACAGTTAACTTACCCAGGCTGTTGCCTTTGGACTGGAACAGAGCACTTACCTTATGACATTTGTGTTTTGCAAACCTGGCTTAAACTACTTGTTTTTTATTACAAGCCAGAGTGTTTGCCAACTAGGTCAACAACAGATGTATCATCCAACTCCTCATTTTTTCTTATCTGGAAGATGGGATTGGAGGATTGCAGGCTTCCTCTCTCTGTAGCACTCCCTCCGGAGATGGTGATGGATTTTCCAGTTGTCCTACATTACATGCCAGTGCCACCTCTCTGCACACTGATGTTACTCCAAGGATAAATTACACAATTGTGTGTAACAGAGAGTAATTTTAAGCATGAGCCATGTTTTAACGACACAGATTTATATTGCATGTGTGACCTGGCGGGCATCAATTCACTGCATTAGCTGTTCCTTGTACTTTTATTTTCCTGTCTTCTCTCCAGGTGGGATCTTAGCTCGCTCCACTGCATTTTAGCAGTGATGTCCTCCACCTGCCCTCACTGTACTCTTGCAGTATCTGCCTGATCCCTCTTCTCCTCCTCTTCTCTCCTCTTCTCTCCTCTTCGTCTTTGCACTGCCCTTTCTCCATTACATCCAGATGTTCCAGTGTTTCAGCCTGTTGGCTGGGCTGTTTGTGCTGGGACTTGTGTCATGGTAACAATGGAAAAATAGGTGTTTTGAGAAATGTTTCGGGGGGGTGTGGGGTTAGAAAAACAGTTTAAATGATAAGCATCATCACTGATAGATGCAAGCTCGCAAACTGTTCTTTATTAACCTGATGTACCCGTATATTGATATCTACGGACAATTAGATAATTAGATTAGATGATACATGACCAAGAAGCTTCCCTCCTCCTAAATCTTTTACCCATTTATCTTACTTTCCTAACAGAGCAGGAAACAGAGTACTTTGTAGCGAATGCTTTACAATCCATTAAAAACATCAAGTAAGAATGTGAACAGCGCCAGGTCAGTTTGAAGTTCATCAGCAGAAAGGGAGTGGAGTGCAGGAAGATTAACATGCACACTGACCTAGTTGAGATCACAGGGTTGGTCACATGAGGGCTTAATGAGGGTTCATTTATCTGACTCCAGTAACACTGGTATAATTGCAGGTGCATTATAAAGATGTTACCAGTAATCTGAGGAGCGCGACATCTTTGCTATTCCTTAGAATAAACCAGCAGTGTTGCCAAAGCATTTACTCATGCAGGCTCTTGCTGTTCTCTCTCCAGTTAGAGGTCTATACCATGCATGGATTACTGACCTACTGGGCACAGGCCCAGGGGCCCAAGGGGACAGGGTGCAATGATTGCAAAGACAGGCAAAGCGACCACTTGAGACACAAAAAACACTGCTAAGACATGTTAAACAACTACAAAGATACACAAAACTACCACAGAGATGTAAAACAACTACAAAGAGACATAAAATATCAACAAAGGTATACAAAAGGACTGCAAAGAGATGCAAAGCAACTACAAAGAAACCCAAGGTAATTACAAAGAGACACAAAAGGACCACAAAGACATAAAGCTATTACAAGGGGAGTCAAAGACCACACGTAGACTCAAAATAACTACAAAGATACATAAAATATCTACAAAGGGATGCAGCAGGACTGCAAAAAGATGCAAAGCAATTCTGGGGGTCTTGCTTCTAACTGAAAGGTGTGTGAGGCTGTTTGAATGTCTGTTCCATAATGTGTCCATGGTCTACTGTTAATTTGGCAACACTCAAACATGGGCACAGAGAAGAGATCATGTATCGTTATTAACTTGGCTTTTCTCTCCTCAGATCTGGGAGTGTGCAGAATCACTGGACAGAAATCTACAACTTTGTTGAACATCTAGCTCATAAATTCCTTAGGTAAAAATCATAACTGTGTCATCAAGTGTCTGTGGGAAAATATGTTACAAGAAATGATCACTGATCCAACAGAGTGTAATTTTCTCTTCTCCTTGCCACAGTCCACAGTTGCGGATGTCCTTCATTGTGTTCTCCACTGAGGGAAGGATCTTGATGAGCCTGACAGAAGACAGGTGGGTGCAGATCCCCTCAAAACTGCCTTTAATCCTTAGCTTTTTTGCCACGCAGCTGAGTGGAATGAGTCTAACGCCAGATATGGACACACGCCACACAGTTATGATCCTTCATTTTCACGACCCAGAAGATTCCAGACAGATACTTTCCCTCGCTGTGATCTGTCTATAGTGTTGCTGGTCTGGACAGCTAATTCATCATGTGGTGTCTGACACATTGTGGGCAGTTTATGTGTCTAATCTTTCCTCAGCTGAGCGTCACAAAATATTTTCACTGTTTCACTGCTTCCCTCATATCTTATTCTACAAAGGGCTCATTTCCTGTCTATCTGCGTGAGAGTTTCTCGAGCCAATACAAACCAGTACTGTTTCAATCTATTCATCTGTTACACGTTGCTGGTATTTTCTGCAAATTCTGCCCTTATGGAAACCATTATTCTGTTACCACGCCTCGCAGTGTCTGGTTGTAGTCAAAAGTATGTTCAGAAATGAATCTGACAAAATAAATATTTTCAGTTTGATTGGATTATCAACAATGTGGATTACCTTGTCTTCTGTATGTCTGCTCAGGGAACGCATCCGTAAAGGTCTAGAGGAGCTCCAGAGGGTTCTTCCAGGAGGAGACACCTTCATGCATGAGGGCATACTGAGGGTGAGCAGCCTCTGCATGTCCAATTCCAAACTGGCATCTGCTTTATCTCAATACTGGCTCCAGAACAAACACGGCTGTTGTGTTTGAGCATGGATCAGTTCCTCTATGCACTGCATGCAACTAGATAGATAGTCTTTCAAACCGGCTTTTCTTTTTTGTCACAGGCCAGTGAGCAAATATATTACGGAAACACTGAAGGTATGTATTACTTTTATATGCTTACATTAGCAAAACACAGTAAATTCAAGTCAATTTTCACAAGCAACTAAGGATAAACCAAAACTTTTTTGAATGTATGACCAATTCTGTGGGTATTTGCATCACAGCAAGTCAGTGGTTCCCAGCTACAGGGATGTCCATGGTGGTCACAAGATACATCTGAGGGGTTGTGAGAAGATTAAAAAGTTAGGGGGGGAAAATAGTGATAAAAATAAATTAAATGCTGCATCAAATTGCAGTAGAAAAATGCTGATGTTTTTGTCTTCCTTTTTTTGAAACACTGGATGGCTTCATGCCAACAAAGTATTCAAATTAAACAACCTGCTCACAGCTTAAGGGCACTTATTAACCTTAAATGAGGTGACCGAGTTGACTTGACTGAGGTGACTGAGTGGGATCCATTGACTTAAAGCTGGGACAGGCAGTATTCTGGGAAAAGACAAAAAGGACCTCTAGTCAGCGCAGTTCTCCCTTTTCACAGCTGTTATCCATCTGTATTTTCTTTCATGTTGATGTTCAGGAGGAAATCCATGTCATGATATTTTGCTATCCCTCTCCCATCTACTTGTACACTGTATTACTAAACAAGTTTGCACCATGGTTAAGGTGCTAATGTTGTATTTCCTTGTCAATTGACCAGGTTCAAATAGTATCACCGTTGGTACTGTCTGTGTTTTGCCCACCAGTGACTACATGTCGTCACTCTGTGACATCAGCTTGGTTGCTCTTTTGATCTTTTTGATAAGCCCGTCTTTATTTTTTGCAGTTGCTTTGCAGTGTAGCCAGTTGTTGTAGCTGAAATAGCATCTTTTTCTGCAGGATTTTCCACCATTGAATTAGACTTTCACTGAAGGGATATGCCTTCCCATCTGCATTTGCAGTGCAGCCAATAGGAATGCTCTCTCTCCGCAATGTCATGTGATTGGCCAAAGTCTCTCATCGTGGCCTAAATTTTCTAAATCCTGAAAACATAGCCACAAGGAGGTGCAGAGGTATAGTGTTCGTTCAGACCACTTCAATTACAATGTCCTCAAATTAGATGCAAAAATAAAACTGCCTACCCCAGCTTTAAATGACACTTTGGTTTTGCTCCTTGACTTGGAATTGTCTATGTGAATAACTGTGTTCAATTTTGAATAGGAGACCTTCAAGGATGAAACTCATAATTATAAAAAGCAAGTAGATTTTGCAAAAAACAGCAGTAATCTTATCAATGCTGCATGGTTATTTGGAATGGGGGAAAAGAGTATGGAATTGCTGCAGGGGTGACCAAATTCTCTCTGCCTGCAGGTGTTCGCACTGCCAGTGTTATCATAGCTCTGACAGATGGAGAGCTGCACGAGGATCTTTTCTACTATGCTGAGAGAGAGGTGAGAGAGACAAAGAGAGATCAAATGGGCCACACAAATTATAACCAGGTGAATGGTGTGACTGAGCATGTGATGGAGCAGATCAAACACTGACACCCTATACATCACCACTTTGATCCTTTTACTTTAGTCTGGAAAAGCTGGGTCAGAGCATCAGTCAGATTTATACATCCCATATAACCCAGTCATTCTCCTCACATCTGCACTGGGATCCAAGGATTTATTTGCTCTTCAGACCATTCAGGCACTACAGGTAGAGGTATACAGCCAGAGGCTTTAATCCGCTTTGAGTGCCCTCAGACACATGTTGACAGTGGGGAGGAAGTGAAGCTGACATTTCCAGTAGCTGGAAATGTTCCACTAGTTGGCTGTGGGAGGTCTTAGACTGTCATTCACTGTCAGACTTGGCACCAAAAAGCCACAGGCATTAATGCTCGTAAACTATCTATTTGGCTTGTGTGTTCTGTTTGGCATTCTGGCATCTGTGTGACATTTTTTTTGTCATGTGATGTCTGAATAATATTATTCACCAGGAACATGGTGTTGCCCAATTTCTTGTAAAATCTCATTAGAGGCCAGATAAACACGAACTTTATTTAACTATGTTTTGGATGATATTATGCAATGCAGAGGTGTAATTGAAGCCAGGTGTTGAGCTTCTTCCTGTTTTTGCTGTGAATCTGTGCATATTTGACAGGCCAACCGCTCCAGAAGTCTTGGTGCCTCTGTTTACTGCGTGGGGGTGAAGGACTTCAATGAGACACAGGTGTGTTTTGTTGACTAAGTTTTAGTCTGTACCTTAATATCTCATGATGTCTAAGCTTAAGGGGATGAAATGGATAGTAAAAGTGTAATTTCAAGCTTTGTAAATCGAACTATTACTTTGAAAACAATGAAACAAGTGTTTTTAAGCAGTTACAAAGTGCTTTACATTAAGTAAAAGCACACTTCACCCTAATCTGTAAAACTTCTGCCACTTACAGTACAGGCCAAAAGTTTGGACACACCTTCTCATTCAATGCGTTTTCTTTATTTTCATGACTATTTACATTGTAGATTCTCACTGAAGGCATCAAAACTATGAATGAACACATGTGGAGTTATGTACTTAACAAAAAAAGGTGAAATAACTGAAAACATGTTTTATATTCTAGTTTCTTCAAAATAGCCACCCTTTGCTCTGATTACTGCTTTGCACACTCTTGGCATTCTCTCCATGAGCTTCAAGAGGTAGTCACCTGAAATGGTTTCCATTTCACAGGTGTGCCTTATCAGGGTTAATTAGTGGAATTTCTTGCTTTATCAATGGGGTTGGGACCATCAGTTGTGTTGTGCAGAAGTCAGGTTAATACACAGCCGACAGCCCTATTGGACAACTGTTGAAATTCATATTATGGCAAGAACCAATCAGCTAACTAAAGAAAAACGAGTGGCCATCATTACTTTAAGAAATGAAGGTCAGTCAGTCCGGAAAATTGCAAAAACTTTAAATGTGTCCCCAAGTGGAGTCGCAAAAACCATCAAGCGCTACAACGAAACTGGCACACATGAGGACCGACCCAGGAAAGGAAGACCAAGAGTCACCTCTGCTTCTGAGGATAAGTTCATCCGAGTCACCAGCCTCAGAAATCGCAAGTTAACAGCAGCTCAGATCAGAGACCAGATGAATGCCACACAGAGTTCTAGCAGCAGACCCATCTCTAGAACAACTGTTAAGAGGAGACTGTGCCAATCAGGCCTTCATGGTCAAATAGCTGCTAGGAAACCACTGCTAAGGAGAGGCAACAAGCAGAAGAGATTTGTTTGGGCCAAGAAACACAAGGAATGGACATTAGACCAGTGGAAATCTGTGCTTTGGTCTGATGAGTCCAAATTTGAGATCTTTGGTTCCAACCGCCGTGTCTTTGTGAGACGCAGAAAAGGTGAACGGATGGATTCCACATGCCTGGTTCCCACTGTGAAGCATGGAGGAGGAGGTGTGATGGTGTGGGGGTGTTTTGCTTGTGACACTGTTGGGGATTTATTCAAAATTGAAGGCACGCTGAACCAGCATGGCTACCACAGCATCCTGCAGCGACATGCCATCCCATCCGGTTTGCGTTTAGTTGGACGATCATTTATTTTTCAACAGGACAATGACCCCAAACACACCTCCAGGCTGTGTAAGGGCTATTTGACCAAGAAGGAGAGTGATGGAGTGCTGCGGCAGATGACCTGGCCTCCACAGTCACCGGACCTGAACCCAATCGAGATGGTTTGGGGTGAGCTGGACCGCAGAGTGAAGGCAAAGGGGCCAACAAGTGCTTAACACCTCTGGGAACTCCTTCAAGACTGTTGGAAAACCATTTCAGGTGACTACCTCTTGAAGCTCATGGAGAGAATGCCAAGAGTGTGCAAAGCAGTAATCAGAGCAAAGGGTGGCTATTTTGAAGAAACTAGAATATAAAACATGTTTTCAGTTATTTCACCTTTTTTTGTTAAGTACATAACTCCACATGTGTTCATTCATAGTTTTGATGCCTTCAGTGAGAATCTACAATGTAAATAGTCATGAAAATAAAGAAAACGCATTGAATGAGAAGGTGTGTCCAAACTTTTGGCCTGTACTGTATATCAGTAACCAAATCAGCAAACAAGCCCTCAGGCTGTCTTCCTAGTGAACTGAATTAAATGTTTAAGAGTTCCAACAAGGACAAGAGATGTACATTAAATGTCTTCAGACAGTGTATGCATTATTATACACGTATTACCCTAATGATAATGTGAGTCAAGAATCTCTTTTGTCCTCCATTATGCAGCATGAAATCTTTTTAGTATGTCTTCTAAAATAAGTGAATTAGGTAATATTGTTAATTGTGTTCATATGTGCCACTTCTGTAATCAATTACGCTGTGAGCTTAACTAATTCTGTGTCTTGGATGAATAAGAGCGCAGTTGTCGCTTGTGATTGTAATAACTTGTTTCCTCTCCAGCTGGCAAAGATAGCTGATAGTAAGGACCATGTCTTCCCCGTAAACGATGGATTTGAGGCCTTGCAAGGGGTCATCGACTCGGTAAGGATTTCATTTCTGCCCACAGTGATGCCAATAGCACCAGTTACACTGAGGGCCAATAGACAGTTGAGGAATAACATGACTTCAAGGAAATCATCTTGTTTTAATGGACTTCATGTAATTTCCCCCATCATTTCTCCTCTAATTCGTCAACAAGCTGCTCAAATAGAACACAAACACGACAAAACAGGTTTAAAGCACGATAAGTTATTCTGTCCATGGAGCCCGGCCAGGGACAGACTTCCAGGAAAACCTGCTGCGACTGTGACTTTCCTGCTTTTGATCATTGCAGCTGATGTCTGGCCAAACATGATCAAAGCATGTGCTGTATCTCTTAAGACCCACCTCAGTAGTGTTGACTCAAATTTTTGTTCTTGCTATCCCGAGAAATGAAAACCAGTTTGTCATGAAGGGGCTGTTACTGGGATACGAGGTTTGTTGAGCAGAGTTAAAGGTCAGGCAAGCTGACTGTCATCTGGAGCAGATTAACTGCAAACCCAGGGCTGTTGCTTCGTATTCATGTGAGCGGGGCAGTGGGTCATGAATCAGTCTTCTTCGTCTTCAGGGTAACAGTTGGTATATTCCTGGAGAGCAGCAGTATCTGTACTACACAAATGAGAATAGAGGGAAACTTTAAGCCTAGAGACCTGAGTGGCAAAAGGTTCACTGACAGGTACATAAAAGTCATGGCTACAGTGAAACCCAGTCACTTAGAAGAGTATAGATAGCCACAATCTGAGACTCTTTAAAAATGATCCAACATCTGAGATTTGTGTCTCCTCATCTCTTCAGATCCTGAAGAGGTCCTGTATCGAGATCCTGGCAGCAGAGCCCTCTAGCATCTGTGCCGGAGGTAAGACAAGGAAGATTTACCTCCTGTTTATCTTCATCAGGTCACTTAATGAATGAAATCAGACAGTAGCACATCTTAAATGAGCCTTCATGATTTTATTGACACTGGCTTCCTTATGTATGTGTAAACTAATAACGATTGCAAAGTTTATTTTTCTTTTAATATATTCTGACCTTATTAAAAGTCATTATGTAGATAACTATTGGACGGATAACCCTTCCCTTTGCCATATATTGAGCTTGCATATTTGATGAAGGTAAAAAAAAAACAGAAATGGCAATAAAATATGGTTATTACACCAAATAAGGAAACATTTTGGGATTTATATGTTGTTAAATAGGTTATACATTTGCCTAAGTCATGTACAGTACATTATCTTACATTCAGCAGTGATGTTATCAATGTTTTGTGTCAGTTAGACCCCAATGAAGTGGGACTTCCTGTCATATGTCTTATACATTCCAATGACAGAATTTCCAATAGACAAATTTTCTATTGGAATTTGTGAGAGGATGGTGCTGCATAAAAATTACTGCTAACGCTAATCACAGCCATAGCCTGACATTGCCAGACCAAATCACAGATGTAAAATAATCTGGAACCTCTCAGTTTATTTTTTTTGTTTTGAAAGGAGTGTTATTAACATCTGATGTAGCGTTGAGGGCCCAGTGACCAGGTCTGCCCTGTGTAGATGGTCAGTCACGACACATTAGTACAGAACTTGACGCAAAGAGGAAAAAAAATGCACCTGAGTGACAGATGAATTCAAACAGACCACAGGGATGAGCTGGCATATATTGGAATTAGGAGTTGGAATATTAAACTTTTGTCCCCACCCTGATGGAAGTGCAGCAAATGCATCTTCCTTTTCAAGACAAGTTTTAAGTGCAGTTGGTTTTTCTTCTTTTGGCAAAAATATACCACCAAAGCTCTGCATCAGCTGCAGCCATCTTGGTTTTCTTTGACAATGCCTCAAAAGTGCTTCCCATACTACATCAACAGTTGTGATTGGCCCAGCATGTCTCGCTGGAAATCTGTCCAAAGCAGATGGAGACTAGACACTTTTTTTTGTTCCTAAGAGTGTTCTGCCTTGTCCTGCCCTACTATGCTCTGATTGGCTAGTGCTAACCCTAACCATGACATCTTTACCCTAACCGTAGCTGCCTCCATCTTTGACACGTCCAAACCAGGCAAAACAGTAGGCTGAAAAAAAATGTGTTGACCAGACGCATCTGCTTGTGCAAATAAATCATGATATGATGATACAATCAGATACAGAACAGATAAAAATCCATTGTATTTAGCTGGGCTCCAAACAAAACATTACAGATCATTATGACATTATGCCAATATAGGCTACAGTATGTTTACAACTTGTGTATAATGCCAGTCAGCACATTGTTTAATATACACCAGCCTTTTAGTAATTGTGAGACAGCTTTATTGTGGCATGTGCAAAGCATTATACCCATATGTCAATGCTCAAATCTCTCTCTCTCTCTCTCTCTCTCTCTCTCTCACTGAAGGCATTTCAAGCCAGTCATGGTTGTTGTCAAATAATGTTCTAACATGATGAGACGTTTGGGTTTTACTTTAAACCACAAATCCAGTTAATGGTAAATTTATTTTCAGTTCTTGAAATGACGTTTGCATTTCTCCTCTCCTTGCTCAGAGTCCTTCCAAGTGGTGGTGAGGGGGAATGGATTCCTCCATGCGCGCAACGTCGATAAAGTTTTGTGCAGCTTCCGCATCAACGACACCCTCACTAAGAGTGAGTGAAACATGGCTGAACATCCCCTCAGTGTTGAAACAAAGTTTTGATTCACTTCATGCGCAGTTTGATCACACATGAGTGTTTTAACAGAGTACACACTGACTCAAAGCTGATCACTCATTCATTTACTATAAAAACAGCTGGATTAAACTCATGAGTGTGCAGGCGATTGTAAAACTCCTCTAAATTACACCTTACTGAGCTTCCCAAAAGTCAAACACCAAGTCAGCCACACAGCTGGAATCCTCTGTGATCAAACAAGCAGCCACGCTGGTGTTACTGGTCTTATGTTTTTTAAACAGTACATTGTGTAATTTTACAGCCTGGAAAGGAAACAGAAAGAAGAGATAAAAGAGAACGAGAACCACACACGAGGTAGATGGAAAAAAGGGCCTTAAGGATACACAGTTTCCCCACACTCTTTAACTGGTGGTTTTCCGTAATAGTTGTTAAAACCACTTCCTACCAGGCATGCCACAGTAGCTGCACGAGGTGCTGGTCTAATTACAAAGCAAGATATATACCAGCACCGAGGTGCAAACAAAATGCCTGCTCCTGTGAGGGAGAGGTGGTGAACAGATGTGTTTCTTATCTAACTTGACATGCTGATACATCTCTGCGTCTTTATCAGTCAACTGGAGTTCATCGTATTCTGATAGAGGAATGCATGAGCCTCTTTTTTAGACTGGAAAATTCCTGCTGTCAGCTCTCTTTGCTGCCTTCCAAGTGGTCTGTTTTGGAGTTTAGTACCAATTCGCATGATGGTTAACCATCTTTTCTGCTTTCTCATGTTTATACTGTATTTAGCGTGCATGATAGCACACATGCAGGACTTATTAGCTATCCAAAGGGACTGTGTTTTTCTCTTTAATGGTAATTACTTTGGTGATGCCATCAACATTCAGCACAGGCATCTTGCACTTTAAATCAAATTCTTGTAACAAAGTGAAACATTAAAAAAGTATTCAGTATTAATCAAATTTTAACAATTCCTCCGAATGGTAATTGTTTCTGCGTGATACAGCATCCAACTTCCTGCAGACAAACAGCGGACATGGAAACAATTTGAGTAAAATTATCTCCTTATGCCAGTCCCATTATACTTGTATACTCCTTCAACAGATCCATTCACTTCTCTAGATTGTTTACACACAATCCTCTGGAACTTGTTTACTTCACATCAGGGGTAAACTTTAAATGAAAATAATTAGGCCAGGGTTAGCTCGCCCGGAGATAAATATGTGATTGGCTATAAGGAAAACCATTTCTCTGTAATGCATTTTTACTTGCCCTTGCTGACTTCCCCCGCTGCAGACCTCTGCATACTTTTCAAATATGGTAAAATGGGGAAAAGGAAAGCAGCAATATGTAACTGCATGTGCTGAGCAGATGAATCGATGTTTGACTTTGTGTCTCCAGGAAAAAGTAGCAGCAAATACAGTCAGGCAAGCTGGGATTTGGCAGGTCCTGTCGCTCTCCATTGTTTTAGTGACAGATGTTGCCATGGAGTATTGAACAGTGTGGATAATGGGAGACAAGTCTTTAATGATATAGTTCAACATTTTAGGAAATACATTTATTCACTTTCTTGCCAAGAGTAAGATGGGAAGATTGATACCTCTCTCATGTCTGTGTAGAGTGCCTCAGGAATAAATCCTAAAACCCAGAAATGAGTTAGCATTTTAGCAATCCTGGTTTCCCCTCATCTTGAAGTCAATGGGTTTTTGGAAAAATGCCTGAAATAGGGTCAGTGGTAAACACAAGCTTGAGAGACTTTCATGTTTTGTTCTATGACAGAAAATACATCAATAAATACCCCACCCTTGAATTTTGAAGCTTTTGTGTGTCTTACAAAAGGCAGTTGCTAACAAGTGGCTAACTGAGACTACAGAACGTCATCACACCAAACATGGGTTTAAAGCCTTCCTGTGGTAGGGACGTTAAGTCATGCAACTGTGGTGTAAGTCATTTATAGCCTAACATTACCTTTTGACCTCTGGCGATTGCATTTAAACTTCAGAAATAAAAGTGATGTTCAGTAGTGAAGATCATCTTGCTGAACATAATGTATCATAAACTTTTGTTTGACATGGAGCTTATTTTCTGCAAAAATCCAAAATCCAATGTGAAATCCCATTGGCATTTTGACGAGGAAACTAGGGTGATGTTAACTTCCACGTTGGCCTACAGAAAAACTAAAAAGCACTCTGTAGCCTACGTAATATGACGCAATAGCCAGCAGCTTGTTAGCTTAGCTTAGCTTAGCTTAGCACAAAGATGGAAAATGGAGGGGGAACAGCTAGTTTAGCACTGTTCAAAGGTAACAATAGCTGCCTACCAGCGCCTCTAAAGTTCACATTATATTTTGTTTGTTGTTTGTTAGTATATTTTGTTGTTTGTTTATGTTGTACAAAAAACAAAATGTAAAAACATAAATTTTTGGTTCAACTTACTTTGTCTTTCCTCACTGTGACAAGAAGTCTCTAGGAAGTTACTGCTCAATGAATTAGCCTAGTCCAGCACAGAAGATCTATGATTTTTTAAATTTATTTTTTATTCACATTTATCTTCTTGTATGCCTACGGATTAAACAAAAGTTGAATGACATGCAAGTGTAGCTGAATCTGATGAATTTTTTTTTAACAACCCTGTGATGCTGCTGTTTTCCCACAATCAGCTGTAAATTGACCTTTCCAAGAAGGGGTGTAAGAAAATATTGACACACTTGAGTATTGTGTTATGTTTTGTGGTACTGAATCGATTTTCAGAACACCGTATTGATTTTTGATGAATTAATTAGTCATTAACTATTAATAGTTTACCTGCAAAGATTCATGCCGTGGTTCATTTTCTGTTGTGTTTTTAACTTACGACCGCTAGATCCTTCGATATTGTAGCCCTAATCTATCTTCAGTCATTTGACTTTGACTTTAAAGTAAGATTTTAAAAGTAAATTGCAGTACATTGTTTTGTTTACAGTTTCACAATATATTCAATTATAACCCCTGGATTGTGAATCGTATCACTAAATTTTTGCCAATATACAGTCCTGTTGCTGACAGTCTGTACCGGTGAATAGTCTCAAAGATCCTACATCTGCCATCATCTTACGCAGTAATTTCAAATAACAGTTAAAGCTGAACTCTGGACACTCACCTGCACTTCACTGTAAAACATGACCTCTCTCTACGCTTGGGGAGTAAAGAGTCCAATAAAACATCATGACATGGACTGTGGATTTTTGCCAGCATTTTTATCCCCAAGGGATTTAAATAGCGGAAATCTGCAGAATCAGGTCCCATCAGCTCTTTACTGGACTTTGCTGCAATTTGACGTTTAGAAGGCTCTCATGCCTTTTCGTCACTCTTCAATAGTGTGAGGCCATTCTGAGTGCGAGGTGGGTGCAGAGATGAACTCTGAACAGGATCATATCTGGCCCAGTTTCTGAGCTGTTTTTGGCAGAGCTGATCGTCCCCCCTCCCCTCCGTCCTGCATGGTGTTTCAAGAGAAGAGCAGTTGCGACCCATGCAGTTGCTTGTGTTGATTTCCTCAGTTCTGGGGTATGTTCTCCTTCTGCCAGGATAAACAGACAGGCTTGGGCGACGATGCTTGTTGGAGCTGCTCTCCTAAAAGCCAGCTGGACAAGGAGAGGACCTAGATTTGACTGAAAAACAAAAGCTGTGGTGGTACTGGTGTTTCTTAGAGTTACACAGATGTCTTCACACAGTAGACAACAAAGCATTTGTCTTGACAAAACACTCCTCTCAAGTAGTTTGTTAATCGAATTACAGCAGAAGTTGTGACATCATTTAACTTCTGTTAATATGCTCATACTTATTGAATTACAGTGAAGTCATGTGGTATTATTCAGTCAATAAACTTTACTTTAATCAGGCTAAACTATGACATAAACTGAAAAGTGATTCAGGTCAGGATTAGTGGGTAAGACCAGTTCAGGAGCTTTATATGTCCAGGAAAACTATTGACTGTAATCACAAGACAAGACTGAAATGTTTGGCTGTTTCTTTTCTTCCTGACCCCTCTCCCTCTTCTTCTCTAGTGGTGAAGCCTTTGGTTGTAGAAGATACATATCTCCTCTGCCCTGCACCAGTGCTTCAAGAGGAGGGGATGTAAGTCCCATCATGTATTTAAATAAATGTGAGGTTTCATTTAACACCATCCATTCTGTTTTTCTACTGCACAAATGGCAGCTGAGATGTTTTCCTTTTTCTTTTCCAGGGCAGCAAACCTTTATGTCAGTATGAACGAAGGTCTCAGTTTCATCTCCAGTTCGGTCACCATTACCACTGTTGGCTGTGTGAGTACCTAGCTAGCACCGTCAAGTTTCTGAGGGCATTCGGCTCAGCTTAATTGTTCTTTTTTTTGCAAGATGGTGTACATCAGTCAATTTAATATTTTTGGCAGTTCTTCAAATCACCTAGTTAGATATAGCAACCTTATATTAGTAAGCTCTGAATATCATTCCAACGTTGGTGTTGCACTGAGTGACTAGTTAATGCCTTGAAAGGTTTTCTAAGGGTGCTTTCACACCTGCCCTGTTTGGTTTGGTTCAATCAAACTCAAGTTTGTTTATCCCCCTAAGTGCGGTTCATTTAGGCAGGTGTGAACACAGCAACTGCACTCGGGTGCTCACCAACTGCAGTTGCATTACACATTGTTTGGGTTAAACATGAGCATGTTACAGTCCTGGAGGATTATTAATGTGCGCCTCCTCCTGTACTGCCTTGATATGCATGTTTGGCGCAACCAAATGCATCAAAACATTGTTTTCTAGTTGGAGCCGCGCCTTGTTTTCAAACTGTATGGTTTGCCTAAAATGAACAATGACAGCAATATAGTACACGATGACCAGCACTAAAATCAACCTGCGTAGTTGTCCCTCCATTGTGACATTAGAAAGTGTCACATTTATCTCGCAAGTGTACTCTTCATTAATGTTTTGTTTACTTCCTGGATTTTTCCCGCATGGAAATTCTGATCAATCAAGAGCAGCTTTCTCACACATATGATCGGGTCCGTTTGAGAACACGAACCAACTCTGGGCAATTCTCTGGGCAAAACTTTGTAACAAAATTAGTCCCTGATTCAGACCAAAGCAAGACAACTCTAGGTCTGAAGCACCCTAACTTATAGATGAAAAAGCACTGTAATCGCTAAGGTCTGAGGCAAAGGTAATGTCGCTGTAGAGCTGAGAGGACGTAAACAGGTATGTTTATAAAACAAATATACAGTACTACATCACACCAGAGGTGTAGACTCAAATCACATGACTGGGACTTGAATCAGACTTGAGTTACAAATTCAGTGACTTTAGACTTGACTTGTCAAAGAAGACTTGCAACTCGACTTGGACTTTAACACCATGACTCGTGACTTCACTTGGACTTGAGCCTTTTGACTTGAAAATACTTGATACCCCAAGCCCAAAGACTAAAAGTATGTTTGTTTAAAAGTGTATCATGAGTTAATTCCTTTCCCTTCATGTCCTGATTCAGCTAACATTAACACTATTCATGCCCTGCAAGTCAACACTTAATTCCCCAGATGAACTTTGTTTGAACCAATCTGACAGCATCCAGTCAAGTTGCAGGAGAGAAGCATAAAGAACCTACATTAGGTTAGTGAGCACCAGTTAGAAAAATTGTATCAGTGATTTTCTTTGTGTAGAAAAACTACCAATGGTCAACAAAAAACTAATTGGAGGTCATTACATCTGGAGACGCAACTACTTCCAAACCTCATTTAACAACTAAAAACATTTTTTTAATGGTTTTTGTAAATTCAATAGATTATTAATCTGATAAGAGCACATTATGACTTGTTTAGGAGACAGACTTTGGGACTTGACTGTCTTGAATTGGGACTTGATTGCAAAGACTTGAGACTTAGTTGTGATTTGCAACAACGACTTTATCCCAGCTCTTCATCACACATTGTGCAAGAAGAGCTTTAAATCTGAAACTGTATTTTTTGGGTAATGGGGCAATCCATCTGTTAAAAAAAAAAAAGAAAAGAAAAAACAAGCACTAACAAAAGCAAACAAACTAGTCTGACCAATCCAGACAGTGCAAAACAAACTGAAGAATCAGATGAATCACAGTCTTTAAGTAGTGATTCCAGTGAAGATAAAACCAAAAGAGCCTTTTGCCGACAAAAGCATTAAGCCTAGAGAAGTGGTTTACGATTTTTTAGTGCTCTACACATTCAGAGAGTCCGTGCTGACGTGTCTGTCTCTGTCACAGTCTGATGGGACCATCCTGGCCATAGCTCTGCTCATCCTGATGCTGCTCCTGGTCTTGGCTCTCCTCTGGTGGTTCTGGCCTCTCTGCTGCACTGTGGTGAGTTTTCTTAAACAGTAGTGCAATAATAACATGCACACACGCTGCTTTACAGATAGCTTCTGGTCTGCTCTTTTCAAATTTAAGATGGCTTCAAACACTTTTTGCTTGCGGACAACAAGACACAGAGAAATGTCTTTACCAGGTCTGTTTTGTCTGGCTAACACCCTTTAAGGCATCTTATTAACCTCAACAACATTCCCATGGTGAGCAGGTTAGGGTCTATGAGTCAATAAAGGTATACTGCCCTTTTGGATCCCGGCAGCTGAATTTAGGCCACAGTCAGAGAAGGTCAAGGCCATGTGTGTTTAAGTAATTATGCTGCTGTTGAAATAATTTGTGTTTCCGCAGGTCACAGCAGGTGACCTCTGAGTTTCACCTCTCAGTACGTCCTCAGTATATTCACTGAAAGACCAAAACTGCTGACAAACTCTTCCCTCAGTACTGGAGCTGAATAATATGAATGTCCAGCTCAAATGGGCTGTTTTGTGTTGTTATCTTTGTTACTATGAGAGTTTTAGAAGCAAGATAACTCATCAGGAATAAAAGTTTCATAAGAAGTATTTTTATGATAGTCATCCGCTCTGGATACCGCAAAAAGAGGAAATGCGCCTGGAAAAAACACATGCCTGTGCCATTATTTAGACAGTGGCCCACCTGCCAGCATCACAATATTTCAGGAAACTCTCTTGTAACCAGCCGCACGCTGTCAAAATCTGTATTTCTCCTCTCAAATGAGGAGTGCAGTGTCTCTTCAGAATCCACTCCAATGTTTCCAGCGCTGGAAACGGGAAAGCTGAGAACTGCCAGAGAGAGATGTCAGCTTTTACAACATGGCTGTCCCTCCCTTTAGTTTTTCCTGTTCTTGTCCATTAAGCTGAAAATTCAAGCCTGTGTGCAGCGAGTCTGTTTAGGAAAGCGATGCAAGATTACCATGGGGAATCGTTTTGCGTTCCAGGGTTTAGAGAAGTGTGGAGGAAAATCACAAATAAGAATCAGAATCGTTTAATTTGCCAAGTGTGCTTAATGTAGAAGAAACTGTCTTCATTACACTGGTGAAAAAAACACACTGACAGCTCATGTGGTGACAAGAAAAGGCACAAGAGGATAGTGCAAGACGTAGGCTAAACTGTGCATGCTTAAAAATACAGTCTATGCGCAATCATGCTGTGTAGCGGCTATGTAATATACTCAACAAGCATAAATACTATAATATTTTATGGCTAACATTGCTCAATACAGAACTGAAGAGCAAATAATACAGCATTTATGAGCCTGTTACTCTCCTCTTCTCCTAATCAACAACCTCAGGCCAAAAAATCTGGACAACAGATTTTTAGGTCAGTGCATCGCTCTTGTAAAGTAGTAGAGACTTAAAGGAAAAAACAATTCCTCAGCCATGTGTTGTTGTGTAACCATCTTGTTGCTCACAGCAGACACATTGCTGTGACATGCAGATCATGTGAGTTTCAATTTTGATACATGTGTTTGTGACTTTCCTGTAAAGAAAGATGTGTGAAAACACTTCCTCCCCCTCTTCTCTTCTCATGAAATCTTTTTTTTACTTTCTTTCTCCCACAGATCATCCACGAACCCCCACCACCAGCTGTGGAGGAGAGTTCGGTAGGAGCCGCACCGCCTCCACTACTCGATCTGTTTCTTATGACTCTAGAGAAAAGCTCATTATTTAAGATTCAGACAGCTGCCAGTGTTTAGGTTGTCTAATTGTTCAGTTTATTCGGACATTTTAAACCTCAATGGCCATGTGGCGTCATTCACTTGCTTCTTGGCATTAAACTCTGATTTCACTCATTTGGTAATTCATCCAGTGTGAGTTAACGCCCTCTTAGAATAACAGTGGAATCCTGATTTTTACTGTTTTTTCTCTCTCCCTTGTTTTTGTGACTTCAATTTATGTTTTTCCAAATCACTTCCTCTTGGACCCTCATGGAACACAATATAGAATTAAACTGACTAATAACGTTATTTCACATGAATCTGATCAACAAATTCATGTTATTACAACACATTTTGACTGCCCAAGCTCACAGAGCAATAACAGCAAGCTAGCATGTGACTGTGGGACATATCGGGCTGCATTTATTTGCACCAATTAAACTGAAAATTAACCGGTAGATTTATACCAAAAACAGACTCCAATGACAACCATAGCCTCACAGACAACTCTGAGCCCTCATTATGGCTTCTACTGTCTGACCTCCTGGTAGATTATGAGTCAGACATGGTGTATTAAAGAGCTGAAACAGAACAAGTTTGGCCAGTGGGCTCTGTAATTTCCTCTGATCTGACAACCAACACAGAGGGGACAAAAATAAGGGCTGGGTTTGGAGTTTTTAGGGCAGACAGACAGAGAGGTATTTAGGTATTTGACCAGTGAAAGGCCATTTAAACCAGGTATCCCCTAGGTGTTCATTTCATGTTTTAATATTCATGTAAAAAAAGGTAAAAGGTTATTTTTTTCTTTTATTATCCCTTAATTGTAGCTACCCATCCTGTCAAATGGCTCATCAATAAAACATACTTCCTGTCACTCTCCCACAGGATGATGAAGACTTTGAAACCCCTAAGAAGAAATGGCCGACTGTCGACGCCTCCTACTATGGAGGAAGAGGAGTTGGGGGAATCAAAAGGATGGAGGTGAAATAAATCAAATAAATCTCAAGTTATCTCACCTAATCTGTTTTGTTAATTAACAAGGATGCAAATCCTTAATGGCCACCTGCGAAGATGTTCCAGGTTTACACATTGGTGTTGTTGAAAAGTTAGTCTTGCTTAGCCAGATCTATCTCCACAACTTTGTCAGTGCTAGAGGAAGGTCTGGAAGTGCCAAGCAGGATGAAAAATGAAGCAAACGCAGAGATACCAAAAACTGCAGTTCTTTAAATGGCCACTTGAGGAAGCAAGTCAATCCTCATTGACCCCTATGTTTAAATGCCCAACTTTATAGCAGAAATATGTTTACAGTCTGGTACAAACAATGTTTTGGTCTCTATAGCTAATTTCCTCCCTCATATTAACTGTACAGGGGTTGAATTTTTATATACCTCACCTGTTTACATCTTAATAAGGCTTAAAGTTATGTTTAGTTGCGGGTGGAGCTGCTTTAAAAGACAGGCTGTCTGCCGGGTGTCGTACAGTCTATGAGTTACATCCAACCCTCACTCATCGACAGCTCTGTCCTCTTGTCTAAATATGGTCACTTCCAAATCCAAGATGGAGATGGCAGAAATGCCAAACTTAAGGCTTCAAAATGGGAGTCCACAAACCAATGGGTGACATCACAGTACCTACATCTATTGTTTTATACAGTCTATGAAAAGCAACCATTATCACTCATTCATAGGGTAAAAAATTGCTCTCGTTATTTGTATATCTCTAAACCAACTGCACTCCTGGGGTTCTGTAGTCTCATCGGGCCACTTGTTAGCAACTGATTTTTTTAAGACACATAAAAGCTTTAAAGTTCATGAGTGGGGTATTTACTTGCATATTTTTTGTCGTATAACAAATGTGAAAGTCTCTTAAGCTTGTGTTAACCACAGACCTTATTTCAGGGATCTGACCAAAAACCCACTCAAAAAACCCACTGACTTTGAGACAATCAAAGCAGTAGGGCAAGAATGCCAACTAATTTCCGGGTGTGGGACTCATTCCTGAGGTGCCTCTATACCCACAGTCTATATCCAGTGAGTCAGACTATTGAAAAATTACCTCTAATTAATAATGTTTGATTGATTTAGGGCCATGGCATTTACAGAAAATTCAAATAACACCAGAGCATCTCATCTATTGATTTCAAGTGGGACAGATTTCACAGTTATACGCTACTGACCATCTATTTGGCAATGATGTAAAAACATTAAAGGCGGTGTGTTCTGACGCTCCGTCATCAGGTCCGCTGGGGTGAGAAAGGCTCCACTGAAGAAGGAGCCAAGCTGGAAAAGGCCAAAAATGCCAAAGTGAAGATGCCCGAGCAGGAGTATGAGGCAGGCCCCACACGGGTTCTTAACAATGGCATGCACAAACCCCCGGGGCCACGCAAGTGGTACTCACCCATCAAGGTACAGTACAAATGGGAAGATGTTTGGTCCGCAGATGTTCTTTCAAGTCTCATTGTTGACAACAAAAACTTGGTAAACATATAGGAATGGTTGGTTACAACTGCTCAACACAGAAAATTAGAAATGTTGGAGGATTTGCGAGATATTTGTTTGAAGACGTCTGTGATATGGCTCAGCTTACATTTAATTTATTAAAGCATTCGTGATTGTTTAATAGCACTACTGGGACAAATGCTTTTTTTTCAGCTGTAAGCATGTGTAGTGCATGAAGTGCAACATCTGTTACAAATTACTCCATGTTAATCTGGCTGAGGATATGTAAGTAATAGCATTATTAAAATGCCGTAGTGAAAGTAGCATGAGATGTGTTAAGGTAATAATGCTTAGGTGACTACTGGCACACAGTCCCTTCCTCCGGGGCCAGCATGGGGTTAAAGGAGTGACTCCAAAGTCTGCAGTCAGCGGGGGATTGCTAATAGAAACCAGACTCCTGTTGGACTGACCTCCAGGGAACAGGGCTGCACAGCCAGCACTTTTGTGAGGAAAAACAGCTGCATTTTCTGCCCTTATCCTCAAAGTATTTGCTGTGTTTAAAAATGATGAAGTCAGCTCACAAAGAACTGAAACCACTTCAGCTTGTCACTGTGAAGTGGCTGCAGGAATTGGGTAATACGGGTCATTTTGTTGCAGCTTGAGTTAGGTGCACAGTGTGGAACAGTGTTTTTGAGTGACCCAGAGAGAAAACAAAATGTAAGATTATTGTAATGGTTTCAAAGTTTGATTTCATCTCTGTTTCCACAGAGCAAACTGGATGCATTGTGGGTACTTTTAAGAAAAGGCTACGACCGTGTGTCCGTGATGAGACCACATCCTGGTGACAAGGTAAGAGTAACTCAAAAGTTACACAGGTAGGCATGAAACCATTTATCAGCCTGCGTTTTACCAACTGACGTAAGGCCTTGGCTGTGCATTAGCATTTGGCAAATGGGGGAATTCTTTTCTATCTGAAAACGTTGAGAAAATAGACCAGCTGTGAGCAATGGTGTGCAGAGCAGAGAGGCTCATGGGAAAACTTGCGGTGAGGTGGGATTTAGACTGCAGCAGTGTCTGGCTACAGTACACTGCAACGTAAAGACTTCTGGAGAAGTCATTATGAAAAGGCAAATGCAATTCCTCAAAGGCCAGCTGTAGTTGAGGGGGATAACAGTGCAATGACCTCTACTGTTGGCAGCTGACATGTAGTCTGAGACTGTGGGATCCACAAGTGTTGAAAAAATAAGTCTGAGGGAAGTCTGTATTATAATCCCTCACCCGCAAGAGTTTATGTAATGATTCATCTTTCCCTGAGTAAGAAATGTTGATCTCAGAGCAGCCATTACCCCTAAATTTAGATAAGATCACCTGAAACTGTCAGATTTACTCCATTTTCTTGTCCATTATACTTTTCAGCACAATTTCTAGTTAAGGTTACTGTACTATTTTTGCGGAATTTATAGTATACTAATTAGCTGTATAGGGTGGCAATCAGCTGTTTTGACACTCATGTATTTGAATATATAGCTGTGCGCTGCTGTTTCAACCCAAAGGAACACACGCAGAGATGGAGCAACAGGGGCCATGTTTCCTGGGTTAACATGTGATTGATTTGAAACTTGCTGTGAAGTTAGCAACTACAGTTTGTCAAGCTAGTAATGTAGAAATGTGTGTTTAATTATGCAATAAATGCAACAAAATATTTCCATCTGAATATTTCACTGTAGTGTCATATAGCTACAAGCGATACTTTGTGATAACAAGCTGACAGAGTACCATATAATAAGTGTTTTTAAGAAGTCTGTTTTTTTTAGGGGTTTTATGGACCAGCTGACAACATATCTCACTAACAGAAAATCCGCCACAGTGCTGCAACACATTTCATACAGTGTAAGCAATGAAGCTGCTTCATTCCAAATGAGATTACATATTTGGCCTCTACATCGTCTTTAGCACACCATTCATGTGTGTTTACAATGTCCTGATTTCTTTCAGCATTTTTAAGGCGTGTTTTGCATGCTCCTTATTAATTTTTTACACTCTAATTTAGTCCAGTGTAAAACAGTATAGTATGTTTTGGTAAATGGTCAGCATGTTGGTGAAGATTCTCAGTCATCCAGGTCATGGTAATCCTAAGTGCTATATTGTAGGCAACTGGACTTACTTAAGTTTCTTGAAGATGTTTCACCTCTAATCCAAGAGGCTTCTTCAGTTCTGAATTGCGGAAACGTCTTCTAGAAACTCAAGTAAGTCCAGTTGCCTACGATATAACACTTAGGACAAATCGTCAGCAGTTAATAGAATTTGTACTAAACTGGCTTCAACAAGCAAATGTTCAGGGGCCGGTTATGAAAATAATTACTTGGCTACATGTCTTAAATTAGATGTATGCGACACTCTGAACATTAATGTAGCAGCAAAGAACTATTACTATGTAAAGATATGGACTGTTTCAAACTTGACAACGTACACATTTTAATGGGTCCAAGTCAATTTCCTGTTGGAATGTTTGTGAATGTGGTAACTGACAGGAAGTAAGCAGGGACCAAAGCTGTTGCCCTAGCAACAGAATGGCAATACATGGCTTAAACGGGACTACAACGGACTACAACAGGTTGCACACCGGTGACATCATAGGTGATAGAAACATGGGATTTTGACTGGTGGCAAATTCAAAATCAGAGCTCTTTACACACATAAAGTTTAAATAAAAACAAATCAGTTGAATCTCTCCCCTTCGGATGAAATGGCCAGTCAGGCTACATGCTATGGAGAGAGTTTAAGAGGTCCTGATCACTTTCGGTACGACGAGAAAGTGAAAATGATAGGAGGTGTGTGCCCTTTTCAGCTCAGCTGCCAGCCTCTGTGTGGACGGGTCCATGTCATTGGTTCGACAGCCCATTGGTTCGACATCCCATTAGTCCGACTGTCCGCGGTGCTGAACGGCTCGCGGCGGGCGTATGGTGCGCCGCGACCGGCTTGAGGCTGAGCAGGCTCACGGCTTATGAGTTTGTCACTTTCTTTTTCATTTTAACCCACACCATGATCTTTTCCTGACCCTAACCAAGTGGTTTTTGTGCCTAAACCTAACCAGACCTTAACCACAGGGCATCATGATGATTTCAGAACGGACTTCGGAACAATGAGTTTAATATGGTCGGAACAATGGGATGTCGAACCAATGGGCAGTTCCCGTGTGGACTCCATGACTGTTCATGTTATGATTATGACAATTATTGTTTAAGTCATAACAACAACAGTCATCGAGTCTCAGTTGAGGCTAACTTTTCGCTAGCTACGTTACTATATGTAGCCTGGTCAAATTTAAAATAACCCAGGACACAAACTAATTTACGGGATCTTTATTTCTCCGAATACTCTTTAAAAAAAACAAGAGAGTAGTATTAAATTATCTTGGAGAGTTCAATTTGGTTTAGGTTTAACAAAGATTTTATTCACAAACAAAAATGGACATCTTCAGGCATGAAGAGCCTCACTTCAAGTAATATCTTACTCTTCAAAACTCAAAGGATTTCACCTATCTCGGTAAACAACGTTTCTGACTCAAAGTGCACTAATGCCAGTGCATTAACAACTCATGAACAATTTTATGTAAATACACGAAAATACATGAGAATGCATGAAAATGCATGAACAACTGTAGCGGTAGCTCTTCTGCTAAACAAAATAAAAGAAATAAACAAAATTCACATACAGTTATTTCCACAGCATATGAAACATTAGTACATTAATATGAAATGAAATCATACAGCCCATTAATATACTTACAACACTTTATCTCTGTACTAACTCAGATACACATCATGTGGCGACAGGCCGTCAAACTCCTGCAGCTCTACACACGAAAATAAACATCATTTTCAGTAAAAATGCACAACTAGTGAAAGTTTTCCAGCATGAACAATAGCAAAATGTAACTCTGTATACTGAATTAACAATACTTTCAGCATGTATTAACCTTGTTGAGATCTTAATCACTTACTCCGCAACCGAGCACATGTACTCAAAATCTGTAAACATCCAAACGACTACGTCGCTATCTGCGGTAAACATTACATGTTACACTTCTATACGATCTCAAAAGTGATCATCTGTCAAGTGTTTCATACAGAAAGTAACATTTTAAACATATTTACCCACTCGAAAAACAACAAATATCCCTTCTGGTGAACAGGTGAGTCTCTCTCTCCAAGCGGATGCTGCTCATCACTTCCTGTTTCTGGGCCGCGATTCTCACTCTCTCACGCGATCTCCTATAGAACACCTCACAGTCTGGGGCACAGTGCCATCTAGTGGCTTTAGTGTGAACTCTTATTTCCACTTGGCTACATATAGTTAATCATTTTGCTGCAAAGGCTATTCCTTGGTTTATGTTCACTGTCCTGTCAATTCATTCATTCAATTCATGTCCTGTCAATTCATTACATCATTCATTAGAATTAACTTCTTGGCTTTGAATATGTTATTGTTGAGATCAACTGACTTTAGTTAGATAGCTAACGTTAGCCAACTAACCTGTGATGAAGTGCCTGCCACAGACGTAGGTGTAGTGACTGGCTGGATCCCACAGCTTTCCGTCTTTACCCTGCCATTTGATGGTTGTGAGCCACAGATTTCTTCTTTCCCCATTCTTCACTCTATCCAGGAGCAAAGAAAATCGCAATTCTGTTTTTTTTGTTTTGTTTTGTTTTGTTTGCTGTGAAGTGAACAATGCAGCAACTTTTCGGCATTATGAACTCCTAGCCACGACTAGTGTCTCTCCTGGGTCGAGTTCAAAACTTTCACCTAAAAGGGGCGTGGCCGTTGTGACGGCAGTGAGTGACGTTGCGTTAAAGTCATGTATATTAGGTCTACAAAGGAGTGATGGCATTCTGAGCAGAGAATGAAGTAACACTACGTCTGTGTGTGTTGTAATCCACGATTCTCTGTTCTTTGTTGTGGTAGACAGTCCGGTCATAGATATATATACATAGATGCCACACCCTGGCTTGTGGGATGCGTCAATACCGCCGCCATCTTGCCTAGGTGCTCTGACCGGTTCAGACCCGTGTCAGACTCGGCAAAAATGCCACATTTTTGCTCTGCATTTGGGTGTACGAACGAAAGAAGTGTTAAAACCAAGCAGAAGGGAATAACATTCCACAGGTAAGAAGTTGTTTTACAATATTTTACTGTTACGAACATGTTTAATGAGATATATATCTCAAAAAGTGATCCTTCTTTTAAGCTAATCAAGTAAAGTAACTGTCCTGATCTGGTCCTAATGCCAAATTAAGCTAACGCTATGTCACACAACTTAAAGAAAAAAGGTTAACATTTATATAATATTACTTATAAAATTATGAT